ATGAGGAACGGGGAGTTTAGATAGTGAGGGTTTACTTGCCAAGGGGTTCTTTGTTTTGAGGCATCTCAGCTTGAGCTACCAGATATCATAACTGCCTTGTGCCAATAACCCACCTAATGGAGATGAAAGTCTAGTGAAAAAGACTTCTTTATTAGTAACATCAGAACTTGGTAGAGAGTTAGTTAACTCTCTCTATATAGAGAGTAAAAATTAAACTCTGAAACTCTAATCTCTAAAATCAGAGTCCAGATACTTTGGATTTTTAAATATAGATACCTTGGATTTTTAAATGTTTTTGTAAAACATAACTGCTTGACCTATTTACATCATGTAAAACATAAATGCAGCAACTCTGATATTTCAGATGGATTCTATTTTTTTTTTTTTTTTTTTTTTTTTTTTGCCACAAATGCATCATAATTTTTTCATGGGTAGATGCTTGCTAACACCTACTACAGCAGCACTCATAGGACAGCCTCAGCTCTGAAAGGAACAGCAAATATCCTGGATAATAAGAGACCATGGAAATGAAAAGAATCTGCCATAGATCTTCCCCAGTGGGGGGGTAGTTAAACAAGAAGTTATTTCTGTCTTCTGCTGACTGTGGGCTTATGGCCAGGGACTGAACAAGACTGGCCTGTCCCTGAACACTGGCCTGCCAGGGGAAGAAACAAAGAGCAATTGTGGAGCTTCATGATGAGATAATAAAATCATGCTGTGCTAATACTTGTACTAGGGAAACATTTCTACAAGGACAGTAATGTTTATAGGCAACAGAGAAGTCCTTGTGAGTTTTGTGAGCTTATGCCCAAGAGGGCTCCTTGGGCAGATATCTTCTCCAGGTAATACTTACTTTTTGACCTTTAAGTTGTCAAACCATATGTCCCACAACAACCTGCCATCCCCTTATACTATAGAGTCCTCCCTGGAAGAAGGTTTAGTCTACTTTACAATGACAAGATGTAATTCAAGGGTGTTGCAGAGAATCTCAACAAATTTGAATTAAAATCAAAGAACTCACCCAACCCCAAGATTAATTAAACTCACAAACACCACAGAATTATGCATAAGCAGTCTTCATGGATTTTTGAGAGACAGAAGATTTAAAAAAAAATTACACAATTTCACATAAGTAAAAATCTATCAAACTTTTCAAATCATGGAATGAAAACCATTGCTGCTATTCCCAATTTGTCCCCAAAGCATCTTCCTTATAGCAGAGCAGCTATCTAGATTTCCAGGTAGATTGACTCTATTTTTATTAATATTAAGGACATCAGATGCACACATAAGCTTGATACAAGACTGCAAACACAGAAAATAATTAAGAGACTTTAAATTGTGAAGGATGTGCAGCCAAAAACATTGATTGGAGGAAAGAAGTTCCAGACCAAGTTCAGAGAGCAAAAAGCAGATGAAAATATGCAGATTTGGAGTTTTAATTTTGCATCAGGTGCAGCTCTTAACTGGGAACTCAGTTTCTCAGAGAAAGGCACACTTTAGGGTTAGTTGGAAAATTTTTCTGAAAGCATTTTTTTCAGTAACATTTGATACTTTTGTTCAAACTAACATGTTCAGGAAGATATGAATTTTGCTGAAAGCTCCATTGTAAAACAAGACATTCTGATAGAACTGAAAAGTTCAATTTTAACATCCACATAATGGAAGCTCTTCACTGAAGAATGGTTAGCTTTCAATGAGAACTCCATTCAAAAATGATAGTTAAAAAAAGTTTTAAAATCTAAAGTCATTTAGCCAAATAAAATACCTCATTTGGCACAGATGATTAATTTTATATTTCTCCTAGCAGAAGCTATTAAATAAAACTTTAACTTCTGAAATTTCAAAGTGGATAAAATTCTGTTGTGTTATTCAACAGAATTAAATAACTCATTTTTACCCAGCTTTCTAGCACCAGTATTGAGCACAAAAGAGAAGCTGCCTCTGTGCATTGCAGAACCTCCCAAAGCCACCATAAACCACAGCAACAGGTGCTGCAGCAGCACAGTGCCCCTTTCATCCTCCACCTAAAAAGTTCTTACTGGCTCATCTGCTGACAAAGGGGCAGCCCCTATGGCTGGTTTCCGTATATCCTCCGTGAGTTTGTAAGACTGGCTCTGGAGGTTTAAAAAACAATGTATGAGACACTCATGAGCCTGTGGTTACAAAACATGAGATAGGAGAAACAGCAAACTGCAGCTGAAAAGCCCTGGCAAGAACCTCTATTTTATTTTCTGCTCTTCCAGAAGCAGTTTTCTGAATTTTTCCAAGATTACCTGTAACTTCCTAGGGACAACAGAGAGATGCAATTCCCAGTTGAGTCTGGGCTGAATGATGGGATTCTCTTCCAATGTGGGATCACCCCTGTTCCCACTGTGGCCTGCAGCACAACTGTGGTGTACTGAACCCACATCCAAACTCCCTAGTCCAGCACGGAGCTCATACACCTGCTAAAGCTGCCTGAGCTGCAGGGCTGTGATCACTCCTGCCATGGATTCACCCCCTCTGGACAGTTTAGCCATGAATGGAGAATGTTTGCCCTGCACTGCATTCCATGTGCTGTCCACTGAAAGGTCTCCAGGGCCAGGACCCTCAGGAGATGCCTGCTGACAGCCCCACGATGTGCTGTGTCCTGCTCAGCAGGAGCCTTCTTGGCCTTGTCTCCTGCAGACAGGTGGAATTGCTGGACACAGGCAGTGCTGCTGATCTGCTCACTCCTCTCCCCTTATGGGATCATTGTCCCACTCACAGGGAGACAAAAAGCTCCTTGGATCTGTAGCTGGAGTTTTATGCAAATGGTATGGGGTGTCTTGCTCACTCTGCCCAAGAAAATGTCCTGGGGAGCTGGTCCAAAAGCATCAGAACATTGGCATCTCTCCAGGCCTTGCTGAATTTGGATTTAAAAAATAATTAAACCTTACAGAAACTCACTTTAGACTGTATCAGCAGGCAGGCTGTCTTCTATTGATACATACTGCAAAACTGCATGTATTCTGCATTCAAGGAGAAAATGCACTGCTGAATAAATACTGCTTTTATCCACTAGTTTCAAAATTAGAGCTAAGAGCCCCATCTTCCTCAGCACAAGCTGCTTAACTTGCAGAGGAACTAATTATTCAGAGCTGTCACACAAAAGTTTTGGACAATCAGGTCATTTTGATGTTAAATGTCTTAATGCAGACAAATGTTACCAAAAATTGTCTCAGTCAAACCTTGTACTGTAGCAATTTGATGCAGTAAATCCCAACACCTGGATTTTAATCAGGGCCTTCTGTAAATACTACATTTTGAGATTACTCCTGTCCCTGTTGCTCTGTGATAAACTTCCCAATTTTGAAAGTATTGGCCTTTGAGACAAGAAGTTTTTCATATTTCTTTAGGAAATTATTTTAATATTCAGAATGTTCCAACACAAATTTGCTAAACTAACTAAAATTAGTTTTTCCATAACATCCTCTGCATAATTTCTTTTTCTCAAAATGACAATGCTGCCCTGTTTAAGCCATTTGGAGCTTTAAAGCACTCAGGACTTGTGTGTTGCAGTTATAATTTCATTATTCATGTACTGTAATGAAGCAACGTTACCAGCTGCATTCAAGTTTCCCCTACAAAGTAGATTTTGAGTATAAATCTTCACTTGCAACTGTATTAATGCCATATCAAGTGAAAATTGACAAAAATAAAACCAGGAAATCATTGCATTCTTGACAATCCAAATTAGGCAAATACTTACATGTGAACTGCCCATTTTTGCTTAGCCTGAATGTAGAAGGTACAACTCTTCTGCTCTTCAATAAAACAAGCATGCAGTTGGAATAGCTAAATACTACCTAAACCTAGGTTAATCAATAACTTCTGACATTATTTAAATTCTAGTCATTGCAAGGTAGGGTGTATTCATGTATTCATGGTGGCTTTATTATCCCTACTATCTAATATCACATCCTGTTGTGTCATGAAGATGACTGGTTTCTCTAAGCAAAATCAGGATTTCACAATGTAAGCTTCACTATGATATATACTGATTTATCTAATTGTTATTACAATGATTTAAAACATAAAAATATTGTAGCATCCAACACGAGCTTTCCAAACAGAGAGAAAGATGCCTCCTTTGAAGGGCTTATTGTGGAATTTAATGGTATTTAATATGCCACTGAGGACCTTCAGATCCTGCAAAACATTTTGAACAGAATCTCACTGCTGTAATTTGGTTTATGTGATCAGATTTTGGTAGTCAGGGGATTTCAGGGGTGTCCTTTGTGAAAAGAGACCAGGGGTTGCCCTATGCTGGACAGAGCCAGGGCCAGCTGACTCTAAAATGAACTCTCCCCAGACCAAAGTTGAGCCCCACCAATGATGCTGGTGGTGCCTCTGTGATAATATATTTAACAAACAGCAAAAATTACATTATTTTTTACATTCAAAAATAATGAAATATTATCCCAGGCAGGAAACACCACACTGCAGTGTGGAACTGGACTGATACCACTGCTACTCTGTAGATCATTGCCGGTGACCCCCAAGCGAGTCCTTGTTCTAAAGGTAACCAGAGAACTGTTTACAGCTGATGGGTCTTAACTGAGGCTAAATGGAAGAGGAAATGAAAATCTTCAGTCTACTGAAGCAAGTGAAATAGTGAAGCACTGAAGTGGTAACAGGTAAAAACTAAGTGAAGCTGAGATTTTTTGTAGAGGATTTATGGTAGCAGTGTGCCCTCATGGATGAGCAGTGGGTGCTTTGTCTGTCACAAGAAGATGCAGAAGCTTCCCTGGAGAAGGTACCTGGATTTCTGTGTGACAGAGAAACACAGTTTGTGGATTACATCAGACTCAACAGAAGAGATACTTTCACCAGCCTTGACCACAGCGTTGGTACGAGCTGTGAAATGGCTTTTACAGTGGTACTGGTGCCTGGTACTCCTGTTCAACTCTGCAGATCTCTGGGGAACCTGGGTGAGACTGAGAATTTTCAGAAAGAAAGACAAGCACAAGAATTCTAAACAGTACTTAGAGATTTATTCAGACAAGTCAAAATGGGCACAGGGTTGACCAGAGACTGATTACACACGATCAGGGGCCAAGAGATTCTCAAATATTTACCAAGACGTTCAGTAAAAGGGAAAAACTGCCAGGAGAACTGATGCCCTCATATGTTCCCTCTAAAGAGGTATTTAAGGGCTTGAAAACTGCAGTGGAAGTCCCAAATAAAAAAATTCAGCCAAAAATACAAACAAATTTGGCTAAAACCAGACATTTACAATGAAATTGTCTCCAGTGTCCTTGAAGGAAGTTACTGGATATACCACTTCCAAGGAAATATTCCCTGGTAACTATTTAATTTTAAGATCTGATCAACAGTTGCCATTTGAGTAAGCAGCTCAGGGGTACTGCATAAATCACTCACGAGAGAGGGACAAAAGTAATCCTGGAGAGCAAATGTTCTTCACATGTTTGTGAAGGCAGCATGAACTGGTCAGGCCAGCCAGGACCAGAAGGAATGTGTGTGGGAGATCACAGCACTGCTGCTCAGTTCAGAGAGAGCTGCACTGATGCAGCTCAGCTTCTTCTTTCAGAGCACTGCATTTTACTGGCAGGTCCCCACCAGCCCATCAAGTTTGCTGAGCACAATGGAAATCAATTTCTGTCTCAGGAAATATAGGAAGTGACTAGAATATGCCAAAATGCTACTTCTGTTTTTAAACAAGGAGGAACTGGTTGAAAATCCAGAAAGTGAAGGTAGTTTGTTTGAAAGTGTAATGGAGTTATCTTGTTGCAAGAAAAAAGAACAGAAGACTTGCAATAAGGAAAAAAAAGCAGACTTTAGAAAAGTCAGTGAACAAAAAAGTAATGTCTTTTGAGATGATAATCTCGAAAATGAAGGATGCTGAGAATAACTGGAAGCAAATGTATTAAAACTCAAGAAGCAAATTTTTTCTATAGGAAGAAAAGGTAAGAGGTATAGTACGAAAAATGTTTATAAATAAGATTATTTCTGCCAGAAATTAATGCCTTTAAGCAAGCAGTCACGTGCACCAACCTGACTAGGATTAAAAAAACCAAAAAGAGAATAGTCATTATATATAGTCAGTGATACAGGTCTATTGAGATCAAACCAGGGTTGATTTCATATGACCACTAATTCACGTCAAGGAAAGTCATAAACAACTGGAGAAGGCTACACATAGTGCCCATGTTCCAGGATAAATCTGCTCATTGCTGCAACTGCCAGAAGGGCCATCTGGAGAAACTGTAAACTGCACAACATCCTACACATAACATAACATATAACATAATGTAACACATAACATAGCATCTATCTATCTATCTATCTATCTATCTATCTATCTATCTATCATCTATCTATCTATCTATCTAATCTCTCTATCTCCATCCTGAGGAGCAGAGCTGGGAGGGAGTGCATGTGGTTGCAATGATAGCCTAAGGTTTGAAAAAAATGATCAGCAGTGTGATCCTCAATGCTCACTTTATTTTACATACATTATTTAAACCAATGTGATTATTACTTTGAAGACCTCAACGGAAGTTGCCGGAGTTCAGACTTTTATCTATGACCTTCATTTAGAAAGCATATTTGAATCAATGGTCAGCATATTCTCAAACTCGTTAATAAACACAGAACAATTTTGCTGTATGGTATCCTTTCTGGCACTAAATTAAAATACTGTTAAAAGTCAAGTACTTTCACTGTTCACTTCTAATCACAGGTCTGCTCAGTTACACTGCCTTTTTGAAGATCTACTCTGTGTCAAGTTTCTTTGTAATTGTCTTGCTTTTTATTCTCTTTTGCCAGTCCTTTAACTGAAAAGTCTGAGGCAGATAATAGCAATATTATTATATAATATTAATAATATTAATATAATAGGAATAATTCCTAAATTACTGTTATTCTGAGCATCTGAATTTTTAGCTTGTGGATTCTCACATCTGTCTTATTGAAAATATTATTCAGGTGCTGGTGCCTCTAACAAGAAAATTTACCTGAGAAGTATCCAAGAAAAAAACTGTCCTGCCCTACTTAGAGGTGTATCTTAACTGCTGCTATCAAAAGCAAACAGACAGTACCAGCCAACGACTCACACCATCTGGTTTATGTGGCAATGGGCAAGGTAAACCACGTTTTTTATTAATGTCTTTTCACAGCTTATTTATAAACCATTGTGGGTTGTGACAGAGAAGGGCTCTTAAGAAACTCAACAACTGGCATTAAAAAGAATTGAGGGATGAGGTCGGATCTGCAGGCTGTGACTGCTCCTGGACTGAATCCCATCGGTGACACGAGCAGGGAGGCCTTATTGTAGATTCTGGAAGTTGTGTGAGCAGCTCCTCACTGCAGGGAACCCTGTGCTGGCACCATGGGGCACATGCAGGGGCTGAGGATTTGTGTCTCTGCAGTTACACATCAGTGGGATCCTGAAGATGCTAGTGATGCTGAAGAAGGAGAACTGGGTCTGTAGTTCTCTAGGATTTACTCAAATATAACACAGCACTCAGTTTCTTTCTGCTGCTCCTGGTCCCCTTTCAGCTGTCACAACTGCTCCAAGGTTATTACTGAGAATGCAGCAAACAGCCTTGAAATATAAATGGCACAAGGGACCAGGGCCTCACATGCCTTTTTTTTTCTCCTTATACATAAAATTATTCACTAAAATGGTGCACAGTATTAAAAATAGAGAGCCCATCCCACATCAGTAATTCTCCAACAGCAAGAAAATGCTTGGCACTGATTTTGACACAGGTAAAATTTTAAATGATGCAGAAGCACCTAGATCCTAAGATCAGGAGGGGCACCTGCTGCTGTTCTATTTGAAGCAGTGTCTTTGGTGACACTGCACCCGCTCGGGACCCCGCACAGGATGGGATGCTCCTGGCACTCAGGGCTGCAGGCTCTGTCCCTGCTGTGCACAGGGGGACACAGGCAGCTGCGGGAGCCCAGGGCCATGGCTCAACGCAGTGATCCATTCCATTCCATTCCATTCCATTCCATTCCATTCCATTCCATTCCATTCCATTCCATTCCATTCCATTCCATTCCATTCCATTCCATTCCATTCCATTCCATTCCACACTGGGACAGGCTGCCCAGGTAGGTGGTGGAGTCACCGTCCCTGGAGGTGTTTAAAGAAAAACTGGATGTCGTACTCCGTGCCATGATCTATTTGACATCGTGGCGTTCGGCCACAGGTTGGACTGGATGATCTTGGCGGTCTTTTCCAACCGAACTGATCCTGTGATTCCCTGCCGGGGAATACTCGTTTGTGCCGCTGCATCTGCCCGGGTGTACCCCGAGCGGCACTAGGAGGACACTGCTGTTAAACCGAACCAAGCAGGCGGCAGAGGCACTTCAGGCTTGGCTCTGTCCCCGGTTAGCGTCAGCCGCTGTCGGGGGTGGCAGGAAGGTGAGCGATCGCCGTCCCGAGGCACCAGCGCCGCGCCCCAGAGCTCCGGTGCCATCCCGGCCGCGCCGAGCGCCGCCCCGCCCGCGGAACTGCGTGCGCGGCGCTTCCGGGGCGGCTCGGGCCGCGGCGGCGGGCGGCGGGCGGAGGGCGGAGGGCAGCGCAGCGCGGGGCGGCCCCGGCCCGCAGCGGCTCCTTCCCGGGGCTGGGGCTCGTTCCCGGGCCGGAGCGCCTCCCGGCGGCGGGGCCCGCGGCCCGGCCTGCTCGCCATGAACATCGACGTGGAGTTCCACATCCGCCACAACTACCCCTGGGCCCGGCTGCCCGCCAGCGTCAGGCAGGTGCGGGCGGCCCGGCTGCCGGCCGGGGCAGCGGCGGGGGGACGCGGGGCACTCGGCCCTGCTGCCCTGGGCGGGGCGGGCGGGCCCGGGCGTTGTGGGGCTCTCTGTGGGGACAGGGGGTGTGGGGTGTGCACGGCCCCGCTGTGGGGAGCGGGGGCTCCGAGTGAGTGCGTGCTCTCTGTGGGGAGAAGCGGCTGAGGAAACGGCGTGTGCTCCGTGTGCGAGAAGCGGGGAGCGGTGTGTGTGTGGCTTCAGTGAGGAGAGGGGACCGCGGGCTGCCTTGGGGTCCCAGCGGCCGGAGGGAGATGCGGTCCTCGCTCAGCCCCTGCCGGTGTCGGACGGCTGAGCCGGGGGTCCCCTGTGCCGCCCCGAGCGGTGCGAGCCCAGCAGGACAGGAGCCTTCGGAGGCTTTGTGCAGCCCCGTGCTTCAGTCGGCAGAGAATTGTTTGCCGCAAGTGGCTCATGGAAAAGAAAACCTCATGAAATTTTGATTGCCTGGATTTAATGGTCCTCTGATAGGAAAGAGGAGGTATTGTTTCAAGTTGAGAGGAAGTTCTTGTTCCAAAGTCTTACACTGCTTTGAGGCAGATGCTGTTAAACAATTCCTGCTCTTGCACAGGGCAAGGGTGGAGAGGATAAGTAGTAGCTGCAGGCCACGAGTAATGCGATTTCCTGAGTTTGAGATTTAAGGACCAGTAAGAAGAGAATAAATGATTTTTCTTTACCTGTCCAGCTGAGTGCCATATTGGCTTTGTGATTTAAGATATAAAATATGCCAGTATTTACTGCATTATTTACTTTATATAACTTCTGGAATACTGTTTTGTCTACTTTATTGTTAGTATAGTCCTTAATATTTTTGTCCTTTCAGCAAACACTTGGCTCCCTCTTTAGATATTTAATCAATTCCAGACCCTGTCTCTGATATCAGGTGTTGCTTTCTCAATATCTGTTTCTGCAGTTTGTGTGCAGCTTTCTTGTTTATATCATATGTGCAGTCAAGTGCCTTTTTGTCAAAGAATCTCTTTTAATATAAACATCAATGAGGGAATCAAGAGAGGGAATCAAGAGAGGGAAGAGAAAAACCAAACAATCCAGATCACTTGTTGCAGATGGAGAGTCAAAGAGTAATATGGCGGATATTGAGGTGATAGTTCTTGAAATAAGCATCTAAAGCATGAACCAAAGTTCTCTTTTTATCTTCTTTCATGACAGTCAAATAATGTGCTGTGCTTGTTCCTTAATCTTGTGACCTAGGGTCACTTGATAGTTTAACTTCCGCAAAGCTGCAACTTGAGCTGTTTCACCTTTTTTTTTTTTTTTTTTTTTTTTTTGTGAAAAGGGTTTCTTAGGTGCAGCAAATAAAGCTTCACATCATGCACCATGCTTGTTTGTGCTACATTAATTCTGGGTAATTTGTCAAGGCTAAATGACATGCTTGTAAATGATGCATCATGTCTGATTTGAAAATCAGATGATCCCTTTTTATCAGAGTGGTACTAGGAAAAAAAATAACCTAAAAATGATTGCTTAAATATTCATCCTGTGTAGAGACCTATTTAAAGGTATTTTTGAACTGCTAGAGAGACTAAAGATACTGTCATGTTGAACTGGGGGACTCCCTGAGCAAAGGCAACTGCCTGCATATGTTTCCTCATAAGACACTTGGCAGTGGTTCAACTGAAAGGTGGGGGGGTTGTGCAAGTCAGTTGAAAGTCCTTTATGTTTTCAAGGGTCTTGGAAACTCCCAGAGGGAATATGAGAGGCAAGTTGTACTCTACAGCATCCGCAATCAGCTGCGGTACCGGAATAACTTAGGTGAGTAAAGAAGCAAAGTAACTTCTGAGCCCCATTCTTCTGTGTGGAAGCTTGTCTCTACTGTAAAACTGCAAGAAGAAGTCCAGTTCAAAGGCTGAACTGGTTTTCCTTCCTTGAAAATAAATGCTTCTAAATAATAAAAGCATGAAAAATCCTGACTTTTGAGTCCATTTGACAACTTCTGTAGCAAAGCACTCATGAAGGTTACTGAGTTGGCAGGTAGAACTGAAGTTCCTACTGTAGTTCTGCTGCCATTTTCCAAGAAATTAAGATTGGGTTTGGCTAGTTAAGCTTGTCACTAGGTTAGATGCAGACAGTTATCCAGACTTACAGGAGCTTTTGGCTATGACTTGTTTGTAGACTTTCAATTTAGTTCAAATTGACTGAATCCATTTTTCTTCCCAAAGCAGATAATAATTTCAATACTTAAAAGATCATTTTCTACAACCTGCATAAGCATTCTATCCCAATGGGCCACTTCCTGGTGACCTTTTAGATAAATCTGCTCCTTAAAGTCTCTGAGGCTACTTACATGATGTGTAGAAATCCTTGGATGCTGGATTCCTTGCACCCCTACTTTATTTTGCTTGTAGTTTTCTGTCAATCGCCATTTTGCTATTTTTAACCCTTTGTTGTAACACTTTTTTACAAAGTTGAACATCATAGAACATTGTAGCTTTTTCTCCCCTTGTAGTTAAGCATGTCAAGAAAGATGAACGTAAATATTATGAAGATCTGTTAAAATACAGTCGAGATCATCTCATGTTGTACCCGTACCATTTGTCTGACATCATGGTAAAAGGTCTGAGGGTAACACCATTTTCCTATTACACAGGAATAATGGAGGTGAGTGCAGAACTGTGGTGGGAGGGTTCTCCATCTGAAGGTGTGGGTAATGGCCCAGTAATGCATACGAGGCAGTGTCAGGTAGTTTTTTTGGTTTTGTGTGGGCCTGCCAAGAAGTAAAGAAAAAGTAAGGAAAGTTTGTAGAGAGCTGCTTTTACCTGCAGTGTTTTCTCTTCTGCCCCATTAGCCTTTCAAGAGCTGGACTTTTGTCATATGGAGCTGGGGTGGGACTCATTCTGAGACCAGACTTTCTCTTTTGATGGTTGAGATTTGTGAGTCTTCGCTTAAAACCGTTAAAGAAATACCTCATTTCAACTGTGTTGGAAACTTTTTGAGAAGCCTGAAGCAGATCTGTTTTTATGAGAATGAGGATGGTTCTGTTTTCTGTCAGCACTCTGGCAATCTTCTTTTGTTTTCATTGGATATTTGAAGTGCTTTTATTTTATTTTGTATATAGCGATTGCAGACATAATGGATTAGTTGTTTGTTTATTCTGTTATTACTGTTAGCAATTCTGTGTGCTGGTTTGTTTTTGTGAAGGGAGATACAGGATTTTGTTTGTTAGTCTTTCAGACAGCATTTTTCTTTTCAAAGCTTACATTAAACAGAAGTCTCATATTTTATGTATTCAACTTACTGTGTAATTATCAAATAATTGTTTGATAAGGAAATGGACTTTTATAGCTCTGTTTAAATTTCATTTCATTCTCAAAGTAAAAAGGACAGGCAGAATTTTGGACTTGCTCCTCTGAAACAATGACTTTCTTCTTGCAACTTAAAAAGTTTTACTTTCTTTTTAAGGATATAATGAACAGTGAAAAAAGCTATGATTCTTTACCCAACTTCACTGCTGCTGACTGTAAGTATTACCTAGATGAATTACTGCTTTCAGTGAGTTAGAAATAAGGAGTTTCTGAAAATGGATTTGTGGGCATGTGTTTGCTTCAATATGAGCATGTGAATGAAGGTGCAAAAACATTTAAATAGTGATACTAAGTGTGTGCCCTTCATACAGAGTTCTGTCAGTATGGCAGGACTGGAATTGGCTGGTTATAATACAGCTAGGCATGGTACAAAACCTTGCCTGTGTCCTTGATTGTCCATTCCTACTTGCCTGCATTTCCCGTTGTTGTACGTCAGCAAACTGAAGTGCTGATCCTTTCCAAGTATGTTTTTTTTTGGCATGTGTTGGGCAGAAGACTTCAGCAGGACACTGGGAGGCTGCTGACACTCTTGTAAATTGGCATCAATGTGGATTGAGGGATGATGTACCAGAAAAGAGGCAAGAGGATCTGGTATTTTATGACCCTCTGGATGTGCCAGATGTTTCTCTTACACCTGGGTATGGGATGAGGAGCTTAGGAAAGCAAAAACTTTGAACCTAGTAGAGGAGAGCAGAAGCCTACTCTGAAGTCTTAAAGAGCAAAATGTAAACTGATGGCACAGGGATGTTATTAACCTGCCACTGAAATGTTTTCTATATTTAACGTATAATTCCTCGCCTTTGGTGTGCATTCATAAAGTTATTTTTAAGGATAGTGTGAAGTCAGGTGAGGAGTAGCCTGCAGCTTTTGTAAATGGTTTGTTTTAGTTTTAGAAGGATATTCTCAGATAACTACTAGTTAGCCTCTCTGTAATGTCCACAGCAGGGAAACAGATGAGAAAGAACTTACTCAGCACCATTTTGCTCGTTGAAATCTAGTGTAACTCAGGAGTTTGAAGAAAGAGGTTTTCCCGTTTTTGTTTAATTTCTGCTGTCCCCCCAACAATTCTGTTATCTTAGCACAGCTGCAGTGATTGCAGTGTAACTGATTTAAACTTCCTTAATTACAGTTCTTTCATAAATGCTAGTGTTGAACTAGAAGTTGGAGTTAAAGCTGAGACTGAATATGCCTTAAAACTAATAAATAGTTTTCTACTGTCTGTTTGTGGTTCCTTAATGATTGAAAGCTAAAGATTATGGAATTAAATTTTGATTCAGTTTAACTCTACTATATTTTAATCATATTCCTTAAAAGATTAGGTAGCCTTTTGTGTCTCCAGTTCTTAGAGTTCTAATCCAGTGCATGGCATGGGCTTTGTTAAGGGAATGAAAAGCTATTACTAT